GTTGTGGTCCGCCAGCAGCCTGTGGAGCTGGCAGCAGAGTCGGACAGTGAGGAGTCTGGGGAAGAACATGGGCCAGTCCTGGAGTCTGGGGAAGGCTCAGACGAGGGCTCTGTGTCGCAGGCAGAGAAAGGGCCACCTGGGAGGTATGTGCTGCCTCCGGAGCCTCCAGAGTCAGACCTCAGTGAGGCAGAGGAACAGGGGGAGCCTGTTCCCAATGTACGCATGCGCAGAGCTACCAGAAAGCAAGAATAGTTAAAACAAAAGGGACGACTCGGAGTAGGGCTTGGAGATGATTGGCCCCTCCCATAAGACTTAAAAGAAGAGCAAAGGCACATGGGCCTTTGCAGGAAGCAACGTTGTTAATTCTGTGAAGTTTAAAGTCTGAAGCTCTGTTTGATTCTGGATTCCGTGTGGCTTTGCCAATTAGGTCTTTGGCAGCGTGTCAAGAGAGATAAAGGTGGGTAATTATCAGCCTTATCCCAAAGGACTCTTTACAACTATTTGGGACTCATCTGTAAATGAATGGAATTTACAGCTGTTAAAATAAAACAGGTTTTTGGGACTACTCGTATGTTTTACTGATTCAGGAGGCCTAGGTCAGAACAGCAGCAGAATAGAATATGTTTCCATCTTAACTTTACTTTGGAGTAAAGAATGGGTTTTCTTAGGTATATGGAAAAACCCCTAGAATGGCAAAATTGGTGGAGGAAAATCAATTGCTTACTTAATAAATTATAGAGTTTAATAAATTATATATAATTAATAAATTATAATAAATATAGTTGCAAGGAACTCTGTATGTTAAAACCTAAATCATGAATTATATCTGACATAGAAAGCAGCAGCAAATATTAATTTAATGCCCTGCTGTTCAACTTCTACAATTGTTGAATACCAAATAAACATTCCCAAAATTTGGATGTCATCCATCAAGAAACAAACTAACTAACCACTCCTTACATTTTCATCTGAGCAAGGGAGTTCACAAAGATAATTTTTGTTGCATTTAGTTAAGCCTTCCTATCTTCTCCATTTTAAAGGCCTTTTAAGATTAATTTGTACCGAAAGATAATCCAGGAAAACACTCATTTTTCACTTGAATGATTTCACATACCCCATATCATAACATTTACCCATTTACCACACATTTGCTAGTTCAGAATATTCTGCAACAGAAATCTCAAAGTACTAAGGGCAAATAAAATTCTGATTTTAGATAACCATCACTATATTTCCTACCATGTTTCCCCCAAAATAAGATCCTGTCTTATATTTTTTTGAACCCTGAAATAAGCGCTTGGCCTTATTGCCATGTGCTCAAAAGCCCGATTGCACTTATTATCAGGGTAGTCATACCTTCTTTTTGGGGGTGCTTGTGAGAGACCACAGCACAGCATATATAGGCTCAGATGGTAACTGCACTTGAAATTTGTTCACATTTTAATATTCATGATATGTTAAGATAAATCAGACAAGAAAGCCAACTTCCTAAATTTGACTAAAATTACTTTATTGATACAGGCTATAGTAACAGAATCTTGACGTTTGACAGCAGTTCTCTTTCCCTCCCTCTTATACTCCAGGAAATTGGGGTAGAACCAATTACCAAATGCTTATGTTATCTTTGTTTCCCATACATAAAGCATATTTGTATACATGCTATTGAAGTCCTATCTGTATAGTTTCTCCCAGGTAATCTCTGTGGCATTCTAAACAATGCTACATATATGTTTCATTAACTAATTTCCAGCCATTGATCCATTCTCATGAACATGCATAAGGAGGAAGCTGAGATGGAGAGTGGCTCTCTCTCACCAGCACTGACATGCCCAGAGAGGTGGGGCTTGGGCAATGATCAAGCTTTGACTGGTGGACATAAGGAAGCTGTAGAGGATCACCTCTTGGAACTTGGTGGTCTGCAGACCACACTTCAAGATCCATTAGCTTAACAGAGGAATACATGAATTGCATATAGAAGTTACTGGAGTCTCTCAGATCTTTGATAACTGCTGAGAATCAAGAAAAACAATAATGAGACAGGATGAACCAATCAATGGATTGGTTCTGTATGAGATAGATTAGTAAGTCTAATATGTCCCACAGAATAAATCCTGCATTCATGGCTACTTTACAATCAAACAAAATGATGACTATCTATTGACTAAGATCAAAGATCTACACCCAGGCTGGAAATCACTGTAATTTCTTTTATTCTTGTGAACAGCTCTGAATCATTTAGAATTGGGCTGCATAGACTTATAAATAATAATAATGATAATTTTATTATTATTTTATTATTGTAATAATATAGTACCAATAGTAATAGTCACCTTGAGTGCAATTCCAAAACATATGGAGCACCATTTGACTACCATCAGTACTGACTAATCTATCAATTGCAAAAGTCAGTTTACTTGGAACAGTTTACATTCTGCTACAATACCTTTAACACCATTGAACAATATCCACCTACCCTAACTCCTGGGTGGATAAAAATGTCAAGTCCAGTCTAAACATTTGAGTGACAGTGTGAATAACAACTACAACAACAACAATAATAATCCCCCAATAAGGCACTACCTTGAAGTGGTTCTGGGACTTGTGTGCTCTGAGGAAGATGAGAGATATGCCAGAGGTTCAACCATACTGGACAGGTCTCATCAGAGGAGTCTGACAAAGAGTGTCACTCCCATAAAAAATATGGTGAGACGTAAATTTCAGAAAGCCATACTAGCTCGGAAGTCACCTGGGTTAACAAGGTCCATGCTAGATGTTGGGAGTTCTTGGATATCTGGTGAAAAATGGGCTACAGGACTCAGGACTGTTGGCTGAGCAACTAGGGCCAGCAGCTGCAGAACTATTGGAAGAAAAGATGCTTACCCATTGCAAATACACAGGGATTGAAAACAAAGAAATAATGATCTGTTATTACAGATCAAGTCCAACAAGAAGAGAATATTTGAAACGAATGAACCAGTTCTGGAAAGAACAACATTCAGAATCAGAAATAACAAAACAGAGGCTAGCAGATCAACGTCAATTTATAATACAAAATAAAGTCTTCACAGAAGCAGAATTGGAAGAACTGGAAAGGTTTACCCGGGGCAAAGAAATCAAAGCCTTGCCAGAAATAACTCAGAATGTAGAGGCAAACCAGGGGGAGTTGGCAGTAGAGGATCCAACAGATATAAAATTGTTTTCATTTGGAAACTGGGCACCCTCTCCTCTGCCTCAGGAAGAACAAAGCCCTCTAACTAAAGAAATAAAGAATTCAAACAAAGAATAACTGAGCATCTAGAACAGCATCAAAACATCAGAATAAGGTTGCCTACATTGAAGCTTGTTCCAAAGAAACAGCTAGCACAAGTGTTAAAAGATGCAAATAATGCAATATCAAGTATAAGCACTAACTCACTGCAAGAAACAAACCAACTAATGTACAGCATAGCTGCAGTTATATCTGAATACCTGGGATGCAAAGTCAACAGAGAAACAAAACCAAACAGTGCACCACAAAAATGGAAGACTAGACTGGAAAATACGATCAGCAAGTTAGATCAGATGCAAGCAAGCTAGAACAGATGAAAAGAAAAGAAGCTGAAGAACAAAAAGACCAAAGAATACCTAATCAAGAATTAGAAACAAGGAAGAACAAGGAAGCACTGGAAATGATAAAGCAGCAAATAACAGCTATAGCCAAGATCAGCAGATACGAAGCTCAAATTGCAAATTATAGGCAGAACCTCTAATTTCAATCCAATCAGAAATGTTTTTCTACCAATCCATCAATGGAGAAACTGTAGTGAATCAGTCAGTACCTGACAAGGAAGAAACAGTGCAGTACTAGGCACAGATATGGGATAACCCAAAGAAATACAACAAGGATGCAGCTTGGTTAAAAGAGGTGGATAAGAATAAAAAAGAAGTTAAAATGAAAGAACTAGTAATAATAGAAGAAATGGCAGGGAAAAGAGCAAGAACGATCAAGAATTGGTCAGCACCAGGTGAAGATGAAGTGCATGGTCATGCAGGAGTGTCAAACTTGTGGCCTGCAGGCTGCATGCATCACACGCTGGCCACGCACACACCAGTTTTAGAGAATGGGGAAAAAGTCACGATACGTCACATGACGACAACGTGGGTTTGACACCCCTGGTCTATACCCACTTCTTGCCAAGCAGTTTAACAACATACTACAAGGAGGTAAAATTGAAAAGTGATAATGATAATGGAGGTATGGGAAGACAAAGCACTATATGGCCAGTACATTAAAAAAATAGCAGGGAAAGCAGATAATAACAAGACCTGGCAATGGTTACGAGCAGGAACTTTGAAGAAAGAGATCAAGCGACTAATTCTGGCTGCACAAGACCACTCCTTAAGGACAAATGAATACAAAGCCAGAATTGAGAAGACAGCAACAGACAGTAAGTGCCACATATGCAAAGAAGGTGAAGAAACAGTGGACCACCTGGTAAGCTGCTGCAAGAAGATTGCAGACTGACTACAAGCGGTGGCATGACAAAGTAGCAACAATGGTGCATTGGAAGATCTGCAAGAAATATCATTTGCTTGCAAGCAAGAACTGGTGGGACCATAAAATAGAGAAAGTCAAAGAAAATGAAGTTAAATTGCTCTGGAACTTTAGAATTCAAGCAGATAGACACTTGCCACATAACACCCCAGACTTAACAATTGTCGATAAGAAAGACAAAATAGTCTGGATAGTGGACTACTTGAACACCATCGGCATTGACACATTCACCATCAGTCAACTGCAAAAGGCAGCTTCACTGGGTACAGCTTCCATCCTATGATGATATCTGTAACACCATCAAACATCCACATCTGCCTATCCCAGGTCCTTGGTAAGGACTTAATAGGTAGACAAAAAAGACAAACCCAGTCTGAGCATCTGGTTGACTGTGCGATGATTAATAATACTAACAAAACAACAACAATAATATCAAACTACTACATGAAAAACATGTTATACATACGTTTTTTGCCATTGATATGATCAAGGAAGTTGATGGAATCTTTCACTACACAGTCACATACATTACAATAATACCTGAGGAGAAGGAGAAGATAATCAATCATCAAATAGCTAATTCAACATTTTCAAATCAATTAATTGTCCCACCCAAAAGCAACAATATTATTAAGTTTCCAGAAGCAAGTTAAACCACAGCACCTTTTTTCTGGTTGGTACTAATATCTTGGAAATTATCTCCTAAATTGTTTGCATACAAAAAAAAAGATGCTAAGATCCTACGAAGTATGCAGTATGCAGATAATAGCAACAAAGATGATAAAGGGTTGGAAACTAAGGAGTATGATGAACAGTTGAGGGAGTTAAGTAGGTATAGCCTGTCAAAGAGATGGATTAGAGGGGACAGTCTTCCAACTGTCCCCTCTGTCACAGGGAGGAGGGGGTCAACTTATTTTCCAAAGCAGCTGAGGGCAGGACTAGAAGTAATGGGTGGAAGCTTGTTAAAGAACTTTCTAGATTCTAGAAGGAAAACTTTTCTGTTAAATTGTTAAACAATGGAATAGCTTGCCTTCAGAGTTGTAGGTGCTCCATCACTGGTGGTTTTCAAAAATAAACTGGACAAAAAATTAACTGGGATGTTAGAAATGTGTTCAGCCTTGAGCAAGAGGTTGGACCAGAAGACTTCTAAGGTCCCTTCCAGCCCTATGATTATATGTCTTATATCAATTTGCAGCTTCCACATTCAGATAGTCCTCGACAGCACTGAATGAATGGTGGTTATGATTAATCCCCAGAATTCTCATATAGCCTCTTGCAATGCATCCTCCCTGAACCCCGCTATGTCCCCCTTGCACCTTTCCGTACCTTCCCCAACTTTTGCTGCACCTGTCTCACAGCCCTATGCACCCCCTTCTGCCTTCCCCTACCTGGCAGCAGGCACTTTGTTTGCAAGTACCTGACACCTGCAATTTCCTGCTGGTTTCCCCACTTACCTGGATATAGGAAGTCAGCAGGAAGTTGCCTCACCTATGACCACAGGATTTGTTTAGCAAAGGCAATCAGAACTGCAGGGATTGCTGTCACTAAGTGATGCAATTATACTTTATGACTACATCACCTACCGACAAAAATTCTGGTCCCAATTAGTCACGGACTACCATGACTTCATTAGTCATGGACTACCTCTATATAAAACATTTTTCTGGACTCCTATTCTTTGCTGTATGTGCAGTTTCAGTCTTCCTTATTATACAGTATACTTGGAGTACACATAAGAGCTGACTGAGTTCAAGGGGTTCAGTTTGTTATTTGATATTTATATCTAAAGACAATACAAAAAGAAGAGGAACAATATTCAGTGGCCATAGGAGTTTTGAAAACAGACCTTGTCCTCAATGGCTAATTATAATCAATTTGTACCTAAGGCACAGCAGCAAATGGCATTCCCCAAGTCAAAATGCATAACTGTCATCAAAATGAGCCTAATTATTGTGGTGTATGAGACGAAATTTTCTGTAACAGCCATACTCTACAAGTAAAAAATTCATAAATAAATACAGCTTAAAATAATTTTCAGTTCTTTCAGGACATCGAAAACCAAATGATCGCAAAGTAAACATCATCTATTTCATTCTGCATAACAGTAAAACTAGCTGTTATTTTCTTCATTTTATCTTCAAGGACTGAGCTTTAAATTTCAGATCATGCACTGGAGGTTTCTCATTAATTTATGTAAGTTTTACTTATTTCATTTGTCATTCAAGACTTCCTGATCTTCTTATAAAGTGACAAGTAACTGTAAAGCCTGCAGTGCTATCCTACTTTAAAGTTTAATGTGTGTATTTGAACCATATCTTTCAAAGATCCTGGAGCACTGGGGAACCACCAGAGGATTGGGAAACAGCTAGTAGGATTCCAATCTGCAAGGAGAAAAATAGAAAACTACAGACCAATCAGCCTCACATCAATATCTGAGAAGATCCTGGAAAAGATAATCAAACAACGGATCTGCAAACATCTAAAAACAAGCAAAGATATTAGTAGAAATCAACTGGGTTTGTCAAAAATAGATCATGCCAGACAAACCTTATAGCATTTTTGATAAAGTGACTAAATTAATGGATCAGGGGAATACTGTAAACACAGTTTATTTAGACTTTAGTAAGGCATTTGACAAAATAGACCAAGGCCTACTTCTCGGTAAGGTCTGTGATAGACAATGTCTACTTTTTTTTCTTTTTTTGTCTTTTCCTATTATGTTTTTGGTTTTAAAAATGTAAAATATTCAATAAAAACTATTAAAAAAAACCCCTATCTTATATTTTTTTGAACCCCAAAATAAGCGCTTGGCCTTATTTTCGGGGAGGTCTTATTATTTTGGGGCACGGGGAGCAAGATGGGGCTCCTCTTGCCGTCTTACCTGATTTCCAACACTGCATTTAAATATTTTTGGGGAAGGCTTATTTTTGAGGGAAGGCTTATTTTAGTGCATTCGCTCAAAAGCCCGATTGGTCTTATTTATCAGGGGATGTCTTATTTTCAGGGAAACAGGGTACAAAATTTCTAGAAGCCTGGCATTCTGACAAATTAGCTATCAATAGACACATAAATATAAACAATATCTACAATGCATAAGAGACAATCAACAAGCCAAAAATATCAAAACGAAATACCAAAACACCTCCCCACCAGCAATCAACACTTAGATGAGCACAGATTAACATCAGACCAACAATCAAGAAGTAAACAATAAACAATAATCCAAACAAGGAACTGCCAAACAAACGAACATTAAACAGGCCAACCAAAAAAATTCCAAGACCACTCCCACCAACACTGACAGAGAAAGTCACTAGAGTATAAACTGAGAGCAAACTCCCACTCCTACTAACACTGATGATATTACCTAGTTTGGGCAATGAAACGGCTGCAAGAAAACCACCAAGCTCAGAGAGCACCAAGGAACTCTCATTTCAACCCTGAGCTACAAATATTCTCTTTTATTAAAAATCAAATGCATAGGGCTAAACAGCAGTAACTCTGAGAGGGATCTAGGTATCTTAGTGGACCACTACCAGAGTATGAGCCAGCAATATGCTGCAGCTGCCAAAAAAGCCAACACAGTCCTAGGCTGCATCAACCGGGGGATTAGTATCAAAATCACATGAAATATTTGTACTGCTTAATACTGCAGTCGTAAGACTACACTTGGAATATTATGTCCAGTTCTGATCGCTATAGTACAAAAAAGATTGGGATTCTAGAAAGAGTGTAAAGATAATTAGGGGACTGGAGGTCAAACCGTACAATGAACAGTTGCAGAAATGAGGTATGTCCAGTCTAAGGAAGAGAAGGACAAGGAGTAACATGATAGCTAGCAGTCTTCCAATATTTGAGGGGCTGTCACAAAAAAGAGTGGTCAACCTATTCTCTAAAGCATCTGAGAGCAGGACAAGAAGTAATGTTTGGAAGATTACCAAAGAGAGATCCAACTTAAAATTAAGGAGTATTAGAACAATTAATCAGTGTAACAGTTTGCCTTCAGAAGTTGTGGTGCTCCAGGAGGTTTTTAAGAAGAGACTGGACAGCCATTTGTCTGAAATGGTATAGACTAGAAGACCTGTGAGGTACCTTCCATCTCTGTTATTCTGTATCTGTATTTCATTATTGTTTAATCTATGCTTTAAATCCTTTTTTTCATTAAATTATTGCCTATCTTTTTGTACACATTCTCAAATAGATTATTTAATTATCTGATAAACTGGCAGGGCCTGGGGATGAAACCTAGTAGCTTTTAATGAATCCAGCACCGATGCCATCTCAAAAATGCTGTATATAGCTACAGTATAGACTTTTTTAAAAAAGTGGTTTAAAAACTGGCTCGAAAGCAAAAACAGAGTCAGGAGTCAGATGTCAAAGCTACTTCTATTGCTCCACATTGATCAATTCACTGAAGATAAATGTCAATGAATAGATTTCCCAAACCAAACAATATCTAAATTGTAACAAAACACATCTATAAGCCACAGAATCAGGATTCATGCTACATACCAAGCGAAAACCAAATCAACTATACAATACATGAATTCAACAATAACCATTAGTATCTTTAAAAAAACGTCCTGCACATAAAATTTGTCTTCTCTTTGCAACTTTAATAAAATCAATTATCACCAGGGTATTTTATTAAATGCCACAAATGAATCCTAAGACATAAATGTTTTAGATTTAAAAAAAGCAAAATCAAGATACAATCAGCAATTTGCTAGGCCTCATACTGAGATCAGATGCCCCTGAAATTGAGCAAATAACAACAATAATTTTAAAAATTCTGGGATATCTCCCATGTCTGTAGAATACAATTTCCTACCTTAGGATACAAGGCACTCTTTATATTAAATAATTGATGAGCATCTATATGAATCTTTGTATATTTAGTAATTGTTAATAATCAACTAAGCCTGATTGCTTTGTTAAAAAATATATGGCTGAATTTTCTACTTTTTTCTCTTCAACCCCACTTCCAATATTTTTTTTTTTATCTTCAGTGAATAATTCAGGTTCAGGTTGAGTAAGTGAAGCGGACAATACATTTAAACTGTTTCATATATGAAGCATAAAAGGAGACTAAGGATTGCCCAGCTATATTATCGTTTTCAAAAACACATCAGCAATTCCAGCTCTCTCATACTTGTTGATGGTGATTGGACATTGCTTCAAGATCAATACTATAATCCTCTGGCTTTGGCTGACTTGGTAGCACAATATTGTCCTCTAATTAAAAAATGCAATGGCAACAACCTCTCTTGATTCTTGCTATTGGTTTTTTGAAGTCGCAATAAGGAATGTTCTCTAATGAGGTTTAAAACACCGTATCTCTTGACAGCATTTCACAGGCCATTGACAGTTAACTACAGGAATTAAAAAGCATCAAAATTAGAAGAAAGTAGAAGCAGCTTAAGCAAGCAATGTATATCTTTGTGCTAAACAATCAAGGACTTCATTCTTGTCAAGGTATAATAATAATGTGGGGATGAGGCCCACACTTGATCTCATCTTTAAATTTCTGACCCTATCTG